CTGCCTTTTTTCTTGGCTGAAAATTTCTTTACTTTCTTTTGCCGATACTCAAGAGTTTGTTTAAAGTAAATTACTTATGCAAATCAAAGTGCAAAAGAAAGAAAAGTTTGCAATTTATTTTGCCGATTGGGGGGTTGAGAGTGCGAGGGCTGTCAAGGGTTAAGGGGTTTGACCTTTGTTAACTCTGTTTGCATTTGTGCTTTGCTCTTTGATTTAAAACTGTCAACGCACATGAGAGCTGCAAAAGTGCTAGTCGTTGAGTTATGGTTCCAGTTCCACTCTTCCCACAAGCAAATGCAAATTTACCTAGGACCCATCGCAAAATGATTGTTCACCGGTTTTGTGGGACATTTTTCTTCGTTCCTTTTTTTTTGGTGGGCGAACCTCAAAAGCACATTGATTTTATTAAATGTTGTTTTAAGTGAATTTGATTTTGATATTTGTTTGTTTGGGGCGACCTGTCGTTTGCATGCATCGACACTTGTGCCACAGATTTTTCATAGCTCCCATAAATAAGTCATCGATTATTTGCCAATGGCTGTGGCTAAAACTGATTTGAAAAATCTGTTCATGAATTTGACATTTGTATATACTAGAATTTCTTTAGCATTGTTTATTTCAGTGTAGGAAAATCACTTAGTCATGTTTCATATTGAACAACAAAATGTAGCTTATCTGAATTTTAAGAAATTAAATTTCAATAAAAACTAACAAAAATACATTTTATTTTAGAAATTCTTTAGCAACTGGCAAATTGATATATTGGTTACTTGATGAATTTAAAGATGTATTTATGATATCCCCCATATTTTCATAATAATTAGTAACAAAGACATCAAATTGTAGCTGTGAAAGGCAATGTAGACTAAATTTATTGCTCAAAACGAACACATTTTAACAAGGCTCAATAAAACTTGAACTAAGTAAGTGACTCTGGTTTGTCCAAATGTCCAAATGGATCTTCAAAAGTTGTTGTTATCGGAACTCTCCGATTTGGGGGCGGTGCCGAAGAACTTCTCGTACTCCTGCTGACGTCGAAGGGCGCGGGCTTCGCGTTCCATTTGCCGCTTCTTGGAGAAGCGCTGATGGATGCGCTTCATCTCCTGCACCTCCTTCATCTCCTCCTTTTCCTCATCCTGGTCAGAGAACGTTTAGATTACTTTCCCTAAACATAGGTTACATTTAACTTACGGTCATGTTTAGGCGAAGGACCAAGGCCCTCCGGCCATCCGACATGGATTGACTGTAGTGCATGAAGTTCTTCAATCGCTCGGCGGGAGGGACACTCCGCTCCACCACCAGGACGATCCTGGCCCATTGGCGCTGCCATTCGTTGCGGATCTCGGCGATCTTCTGGTACGTGTTGCCCATCATGGCGATCAACATGTTCACCAGCAACACACTCACGATCACCATGAACAGGAAGAACAGGATCTTCGCCTCGTACTCGTGCTGCGTGGACACCATCGCTCCGTAGTAGTCCCCAAAGTTCGTCAGCGACATCAGGAACATGGCCACGATCGATTCCATGGGCGAGGGCATCGGATTGGACTCTGCATCCTCAGCGTCCGGCGTCGTTGGGTTGTCGAAGGTCAGGAAAATAATGTAGAAGGCCTGCGAGAAGCCCATCACAAACACCAAATAGATGGACACGAATCGGAGCAGATCTCCCATGACCATGCGGTATATCATCACCACAAAGGGACCGACGGTCTTGAAGCCCCTGGAAAAAATAGCGGAAAAGAGGTTTAAATATGCATTACCTAAACTTTATCCTCTTTTGGTAACCAAAAAAGCAAGACCACACTACAACAAACTAAAACAATTGAATATTCATTCTTCATATCATAATCTTCTCGTCCTAAAAAAGTATAACTGGTTTTTGAATGAATGTTTATGTTTTTAAGATATTAAATGTTTTTTTTTTTATGTTCCTACTTAAGTTTTGTAATTTTAAGACAAATACTCACCGACAGAAAAATAGAAAATATGGAGCAGTGGTTAGCATTATCACAACGGTGACGTGATCATCGATCTCGGTGAGACAGGAAACCCTCAACCAGGGTATGGTCATCATCAGGGCACACGAAAACAGAAACATTACACGTGAAGGAGCCGTCATCTTAAAAGATGTTTTGAATTAGTGATTACAATTATAATTTATGTTAATTAATTTACCAAATTCTCAATAAACATTTTCAGGCCTAAAAAACGAGCCTCTCGCAAAGCGACAAGAAGATAAAGTATAGCTCCCACAAAGTTTAATAGTTCTGCCATTATACGGAGCTTGGCCAAATCGGATTCGAGATTCATCAAGGGACACTGGGCATAACTTTCCCACCAAGCGGGCAGTACCTCAACTTCCGATGGATCATAGTACTCGGTAAAGTTCAGCCAAAATGTTTCTAGAGGAAATTTATAGATATACAAAAATATATAATTATATAGTTGAATTTTATATGCTACAAGTTCCAATCTATAACACAAACTGATAAATGTTTAATTATAAAAATAAGTTCCTTGACCTTAATATAAAATAGAAAAATAAAATAAAAAATTATTATTTTTGTTCTCCTACTTTAATATACTCAACTGTATTCTGTGCTCTGAGAAGCCCTCTTAGGTTGACGATGGTACGTATGGGACCCATTTTGCCTATACAGATCATTCTTAACCGTGGTGCTGTTGGCTCCATCCTCGTCTTCGTCCTGGTTGTCAGGTCCTGGTCGCAAGATAAAACTGAAGAGCGAGATCAGGAAGTAGAGGGCGAACATGTAGAACTGCTTGTAGAACCGCGACTTGCAGAACGTGTCCCACTTGGTCTTCAGCAAGTCGATGACCACGCCATCGAGCAGCTCCAGATGCTCCAACTTATCGCCAAACACCACGAAATTGAGCACGGAGTCCTTGTTGATATTGCCGGTCTCCTCATTAATAGTATCTATCATCAGAAGTGGATAGGCGGCACAGGTGATGCTCCCCAGTTGCCAGTAAATCTCCCTTTCGATGCTCATCACGTGGAAGAACATCTCCACTCTGCCCAACTTGGCGGCCAAAGTGAGGGGCGTGAGGTTCTGGACGTTCTTTATGTGGATGTTCGTTCCCACCTCATAGCCTACGTCGAACATTTCGATCTTTTCGTAGATGACCAGCATGTGGAGCACGGTGTTTCCGTTGGTGTCCTGGAAATCAGGATCAGCTCCGCGGGCCAAAACCAATCGGAAGCACTCTTCCTGCGACAGACAGGCCGCAAAACTTAGGGGATACTCGCCCCAGTACACATACCCATCGTAGTTGGTCATGGGACACAGGGCCACGTACTCGTGATCCGGCGAATCCGTCCTGGAAAACTTTGTATCCTCCGCCGACATAAAGGCTCCACAGCAACTGAAAAATATGCAATAATACGTTTTTAAAATCTTCTCAATATTTTTAGTAATTTTATGTAACGGATTCTAGTTGTTTTAAAGATTTAAAGAATTATGAAGGTAAAGAATTTGGATTAGAAAGTGATAATTATAAATAAATAAATAATAACAATGCTCTTAGCAAAATTACATTCCTCAAACAATGGTTTTTAAAATAAGATTGGTACTAAATTGCTTTTAAGAAGACTTTTAATCTAAAATGGTCCATTTTCTCACCGCTCTTGGACATCTGCGTTGGCATCTAGCAGATATTTCACCATGGCAGGATCCTCATTGACGATGGCAATGTGCAGGACACTTTCTCCATAGTACTCGTCGCTCATGTAGGTGTCCAGGATAAGTTTTGGGTAGAACTTCAGTAGCCTCTTGGCAAGATCAGCGTGCAACGAAGAAGCGTTCAGCAGGCACAAATGTAGGATGGTCTCGCCCACAGCTCCACGCAGCTTAAATATGGAAGAAAATAGGTTAAATAGGTGATTAAATACGAAGTAATTACAATGTGGTTTGGGGAATCTCAGTAATATACTATTGTAAAGTTATAAGATGTTAGCCCTTGTAAAAAATAACTAAGTACTTTCTGGTAGAAGTTTTTACTGAACTAGGTCTGACTTCTAAAGCCACTTTACTAACTTATTATATATTGAAGAGGCTATACATTAAAAGTGTGTGTATAGTAAGATATAACCCATCCACTCACGTTCAGATCCCAGCAGACGAATCGATAGGCGGTCGGATTGGAGATGTACTCCGCCTCGGAGACCTCGGGACAGTAATCGTGGATGTTGAACTCCTCATCGGGGTTCTCGAGCGCCCTAATCTCGGGCAGCTGGCGGGTGCGGGGGCGATCCCGATTGCGGAGCAGGACGAGCTTCGAGATGGGGAAGTAGCGACCCGCACCCTTGTTGTACAGGAAGGGCTCCACCTTGGTCTTGATGGCGTGGTCGATCTCGGCGAACTGCTTGGTCTGGCAGGCCCGTTTCATCATGTCCACCAGAAGGCCGCCGCCCTTGAGGTTCACGAACTTGTAGAGGGCCTGGGTGGAGACTCCGGCCTGCTTCTTTACCCCGCTGGTCACATTACTCTCCGTATTCCCCATTATCTGATCCCGGAGCTTGCTGACTCAATTTGCCACTGGGTTTTTCCGATTTTCAAACGCTTTTGTAGCGCGACATTGCTGGCTAAAGTGTCTGCTCTTGGAATTTCCTGCTTGTTATGCCGTGGTCCTTGTCCATTGGTGGCTATCGATAAAACATTCCGTGGCACGTCCGTTGCCAATGCAACAGCTGAACTTGAGCTCCTTTGCTCTGTTTACGCTGCGTTGCCAGGACATCGCACCTGTTGCACCTGCTCAACAAGTTTCGATGGCCTCTTCATTTGTTTGTTATATTTTTGTTGCATGACATGGTAATCCAGTTGCATATTCAGTGATAATAAATACAATCCTTTACTTTTATTTAAAATAAATTCCGTAAAGTGATTTGAATTTAAGTTTTTCGTTAAGAACTTTTTTGTAAGGCTCGGGTTCAAACAAAATGATAAAAAAACGTTTCATATTAAGATTAAACACATTAATTTATATATAAGGGAACTGTGGTAATTTATTATAAGGACTGGACCAAATACAAAGTATTTCTTAACTGGAAAATTTTCATAATAATTAAAGTTTTAGTTTCTTTCAAAACGATGTTTCCCGTTCAAAATGTTACTAAATTCAAAAAAAATTAACGATATCATATTTATCGAATAGTCTAAACGCTACCGATAACAGGATTGTGGTTTGTGTATCCGCTAACACACTTAAAAGTCGACTTGACATTGTCAAGTAAACATATCATTGATTATCTACATGGGTTTTCACCGCGTATAATACGTTCAATCCTTCGGGGATTATATTTCTTCTATTGTTAATTTGCTATATCTCTTCGAATTTTTTGGTAAAAGTACCTCTTGGTGGACATTTATTTTAGTAGGCAACAGACAACAGTTCCTTGCTTATATAGATGGTTTTAGCGACTAAAGTAACATTACGCAGATGTCTTCTCCACCAGTTTGGCCATCATCTTCTCCTCCTTTGCCTTTCGCTTGGCCTCCTTTTGCTTCTTCTTGTCCTCCTTCTCCTTCTGCTCCAGCATCTCCTTGAACCGCTCGTCGCGGGTGTCCACCTTGAAGCCAAAGTGTCGACGCACCTCCTCCACCAGGCGTTCCTTGCGAGCGATGGCCGCCGCCGCATCCGCCTCTCGCTTGGCCACCTTCGCGTGCAGGTCCGCCTTCCACTGCTTCAGCTTCTCCAACTTCTTCGCAATGTCCTCCTCGCGGGCGTTGATCTTCTCCAGCTCCTCGGCCTTCTGCGCGCGGTTCTTCTCCAGCATTTTCAGGAGCGTTTCTAGTTGCATAACCTGCCTGTTGTCTTTCTCTCCGCGGGAATCGAAACAAATCTTAGGGTTTACATTACTTTTGGCGCCATAACGTCCGAATGCCTGTCTCTGGTATTTCTCGGTCAGATGAATCCAGGAATGTGCCTCCTGGTAAGGCACATTGTTAAAGAGCACATTTTTGTGTTGCGGCTGCAGGCCGGATCTGTCCACCGCCTGCGGATAAGCCGGTTCCTCTTCATCCACCAAGGACGCCGGAAGTTCCGCTTTAGCAGCGCTCGAGTATTGCTGGCTTAAGCGAAGGGCAGGAAGTCTGCTGACAGCGTTTAATTTGCCCAAATTCATCTTGAAATGTGCAACCGAAATAAATGTTATTATTTTCAATAGAGATGCAAGAACAACAGAGATAGCGATGGAATACCAGGGCTGTTAGAGTATCGCTAAAACTATCGGAACTATAATTGCAATAATTTTAATATTAAGCAAGGGGTACTCAGCTAAGTAGCAAACGTTTATAATATAAAAGTACAACAAATATTTATTTTGTAAAGCGAGTTTAATGTATTCATCTGTACAGATTCTAATATTTGTTTTGTCATTTTATAACTATGAAGATTTCTTAACATGAATTTATATTCGAACCCATTTGGTACAGAGGAATTGGGCATTAAGGGAATACCCTTATTAAGTTAAAAATAACTGAGGACGAATAGTGTGGCCAGTTCGCAACTACTCTGAAATGCTTTCCTCTCGGCCACTGTGAAGAGAGGACAGCCATTTTGTTGTTTTGGCGTTGAAAATTTTTCGGCATGATTGAGACATAGTAAAAAGAGGATTTACTTGCATTTTTAGTGGTCGCGACTGTTTTTAACAACCTCGATTGCTAGCTGAATATGCCAATGCACCAGTAAGTGTATAAAATTTCCCAGCAAAGCCAAAAGATGAGCGGATCCAATGCGAAGGCGTCTGGGACTGGTGAGCACCCACTAGTTATACCATTATATTCATTTTCCGCAACCACTAACAAATTTTTAAAAAAGGCTTTGGGAGCCACATCCCCAGCATCGAGGAGAAGAACAAGCAGATCCAGCAGGAGACGATGATGGAGAAGCTGCGGGCCAAGTACCGGAGCAAGCCGAAGAGTTACGAGGAGATCAAAAAGTCGGTGCGGATGTACTTCATCGAGAAGCACTACCCACTGGATCCGCTCTGCAAGGCCACCCTGCAGTCGGCGCTGGACAAGCTGCAGCACTACATCAAGGTCACCTCGCGGCACGGTCTCGTGGAGCGCCTCGAGAGCCTCTCGCGGCAATTGGGCCTCAAGTTCATGGAGGACCAGCAGTTGCTCTTCATCTCGACGGACATGTTCTACGTGGAGATCCTGCTGGACGCCGCTGGTAGTCTGTCGGACGTCAAGGTGCACCACGAGTGCAAGATAGAGCAGCAGTCCAGCGAGCTGGTGGCCTGCCTCAAGTCCGGCGACTTTGCCGACTTCACGGTCCAGCTGGAGGGCCTGTCCTCCATCTACCAGTTGAATGCCGAGCCCAAGGTGAAGAAGAAGGCGTTTGTGGCGCTCCAGGCCATGGAGACGGACATTCAGAGCCTCTACCAGCTGCACCTGCAAGGCCACTCCGGCGACAGCTACTCCCTGATGAGCAGTTCGACCGTGGGTCTGGTGCTGCCCCGCCGCGGTGGCCATCCCATGAAACTCACCTACTTCTGCCCGCCACTGCACCTGCCCGAGGGTGATCCCAAACAGGCCAGCGGCGACTTCTCCATCGATCAGGTGATGCGCAGCAGTCACGGCCTGAGTGCCACTGTAAATCTGGAAGGCTCCTCTGCGAACAAACTGCAGACCCTGCCCACAGTGACCCTGGCACGCGATGCTCAGACGGGTCTGGAGGTTCCCACATACGCCCAACTCAACCAGAACAACTCGTTGCTGATGCCAGCCACGTATGTTCTGCGACTGAACAAGCCGATGCCCGTGTGCCTGGAGTCCCTGAAGGCACTTGGTCTGCCCGGGCTAGATGCCACGGCCACACCTCCCAGTCCGCCCACTACAGTGCTGAATCTGATTGTACAGACGGCCTCCAAACAGGCCATTAGGAACACGCAACGTGGCCTGTATGTAAACCTGCCCAAGGAGACGCACTGCTACTTCTTTACAGACAATCGGAAGCTCCAAGGCACCCTGGTGTCCTCGTTGCCCTTCACTGAGCCCGCCCAGGTTCCGCGGATCGTGAAGTTCCTTAAAAAGCAGGCTCTGTTCTACACCCTGCTCGCCAGCTGCGTTCGCGAGCAGCAGAAGCAGTATAATGGTAAGTTGTATGCATTAATTCCCTTCCTTTCTCATCCTAATCTCATCCGATGCAGACATGGAGAGCACTGTGATACTGGAGGTAACCGCTGTCTCCTTCAACCAAATCACTGTAGAACTCCAGCATCCGTACGAGGAGTCGCTGGCCACGGTGGATTTCCTGCTAGAAGACGGTCAGCCCACGTGTAGCGTCTACTGCTTGAGCAACGAATACGAGCAACTGTCTCAAAAACTCACCCGTACCGTCCGTAAAGTGGTATCCATTCCGATGGTCATCTATAAGCTGCTAAAGTGCTGGGATGAGGAGCATGAATTTAAACTACACGGCGGTTTAGGTCCTGGAGCGGGCCCTGCGGGTTCAGGAGCAATCGGAGGTGGAGGCATGGGCGGAGGAACTGCGTCTGGCGGCGGTAGTAACTTCAATCAGTTCGCAATGGACACGGCACCGCCGCCAGATGGAAGCTTGCCCGGAGGTGGCTTCACCAACATCAACAACCTCAAAATGGACGCCAAATCGCGATCCCTAGCGGATGCTTTTGCCGCCTCCACCTCCGCTGCAGCGGCCATCGCGGGACTGATCAATCTAAAGCGCGAAACAGATCCCCAATCGGGCAGTTCGACCAGTGGCGCCTCGGCCGGCGGTAGCTCCAGTTCCTCTGGCGCCGCCAAAACGAGCGATCATGACATTGCCGACAAGTACAAGAATATCTGGAAGGACAAGACTCCGAATCTGAAGCACTGTGTCAGCATCACACCCATTCCAGGGGATGGCAAGTCGGCGGGATCAACAGGAGGAGTGCCCAGCGTTGAAGTTCAGCGCACGGGAGGCATTGAGATTATCCCACTGAACGCCCAGGCTTCTGTCGGAGGAGGCGTGGCTGCCTCGTCCAGTGCCGCACCAACGACAATAACAATCACCCCCATTACGGGCAAGGATCCCAGCAAGGACGCGTCGAAAAAGAGCAGTTCCACTTCGACTGGAGTAAATGTGGCCGCCAAGCGACCACACGAGAGCAGCACCAGCGGCTCCTCAACGTCAGGTGGAGGTGGTTCTGGCAGTTCCATGTCGTCCTCAAGCAGCAGCAGTTCCTCCGACACGCAAAAGGAGAAAAAACGCAAAAAGAAGCGCGACGATTCGCCCATGGGACCGCCAGAGAAGATATACTCCCGCCAAAACTCGCCGGCTGCTGGTGGAGATGCTTCCGCAACTGGTGGAGTGGTGCGAAAGTTCTCCTCGCCCTCTTCGTCGCCCAAGGCAGGTGGCGCTGGACAGGGTCTGATGGCCGGAGTGCCAACAGCGCGTCCCAGCCCAAAACACTCGCCCGTCTACAGCAGTCCCAAACACAACACCGCCTCCAATAGCCCAAAGTCGCCATTCGGCACACACTCGCCCAAACATGGCTCCTCGGGCAAGCCGAGCATGTCCACGTTGAAGAGCGCAGCCACAGCCGCCACCATCCTGAGTCCCAAGGGGGATAAGTCCGCCTCGGCTGTGGGGGTCGCTGCATCGGGACCATCCGTCTCATCGGGACCCGGAGGAACTCCCGGTCTGGTGCGTTCCTTTGCCAGCGTTGGAGCACCGCCGCCACCACCGCCAATTCCTCCATTAGCGAGCGCCAGTGGATCCATCGGCAGCAACCAGAGCTTGAAGAAGGAGAAGTCCTCCTCCGGACCTGGTTCCACTGCCACTTCATCCTCAGCAGCAGCAGCAGCAGCGGCAGCTGTTTCATCTGGCGGAGGCATTTCCCCGGCCAGTGTGGCGGCAGCGGTGGCCGCCCTGAAATCCTCCCAGCAGCAGCTTAAGTCGGTGGCCAGTCTCTCGCATCTGGCGTCGGGCGGAGGATTGGGCGGCTATGCGGCTTCCGCGGGAGCGGGCGGATCTGCTGCAACGGCAGCAGCAGTGGTGGTGGGAGCAGGAGCTGGCGTTGGAGTCGGAGTTGGAGCGGGGGCCTCCGGACTGGAGCTGAGTGCCCTGCGCAAGGGCATGGCGGGAGGTGCGGTAAGTCCGTTTTCATTATAAGTGCTCCACACCAACCACACCACACCAACCAACCAACCAACCAACCAACCAACCCTCCCCCAGCATCTCCCACTGGAAGACTAACACGTAGTTGACTCTCTGCCACCTCTCCTAACCAAAGCAGAATCAAATCAGAGCGAAACTATCTTTAAACTAATGCAAATGCTGTATTTATCTAAGCTATAAAACGATTTGTAATTCGCCTACCTTTGCTGTAGTTGAAAATGATTATTATTGTTACTATTACAACTATTATTATTTTTTGTTTGTGTCTCGTATTGCCTTTTTCTTATTTTTGTAAATATATATTATCCTATTATTTGTCATATACTGCTGCATCCGTTTTATTTTCGACCAAATCCAAATCTTTTTACGGTAATGGGGCCTTTCCAACACTCAATATTCTCAATTCGCAAGCTCTAACCATTTTTTTCCTGCATTAAGCACGTATGTATATATTTAATCTGTTTGTTTTGTATTGTATTGCTCGGCCTGGCATGATTCCTGTAGAACATGGTGTACTCTCCTATTTCTACAGAGCAAAGAGACCTAAACAAAAGTAAATTCCTATCGTTTTTGAGGTTGTTCTTTGTTATTATAGTTGTTTGTTAGTTGTTATGTGAGTCTCTTGAGTTTGATAAAAATTTCAAGTGACTGTGCTATTCTGACTATTTATTTTGAATAATAATTGGTATCTTAACTGCGCTTGGTAGCATAGACTTTACCTATTTGTTTAGAGTAGTTTCTAGTTTACCTTATGTCTTAATTGGATTTGTACACTTTTAATTACCTTTCCGATACTTTCCGCACTAGAATCCCTTAAACAAATGGGGTAACTTAGTTTCAAACCGATTTAAAAGCTAATTACTAATGGGGTCCACTCTTGTTTTCTCTTCCTTTTTCTCTATCTATATTTTCTTGCCATACGACATTGACACTCCCACTTTTTGGTGGGATTGTTAAACCCTTAATTCACTTTTTTTTTGCTGATCACACGTGATGTTCCCCTTTTGATTGTTATAATTTTGGTTATTTTCTGGTTTATTTTTGGTTCGTTTGTTCCCTAACACACACACACAACCACATGCTTACTTTGTCAGGTTAGTTTGATGACGTCGACGGCAGCTTTAGCGCCAACAATCCCGTCAGCAACAACAACAGTGGCAGCGGGAGCGGGAGCAGCGGCCTCGTCGGCGTCATTGGTGCCTCCAATCTCGGCGGGAGCGTCAGGGAGTCTGGGTCAGGGAGCAGCGGCAGCAGCAGCGGCAACAGCAACAGCAGCGGCAGCAACACTGGCAACAGCAACAGCAACAATGCTGCAGCAACAGCAACAGCCGGGAGTAGCGGCAACTAGTAGCTGCATGGCCACCAGCGGGGGCAGCAGCGACTCCGCCGGAGGCAGCACTCCGGCCGGAGCCTCCACGGAGTACATGGTCAAGCCCAGCAGCCAGGAGGGCCTCAAGCTGACCATCAACAAGACGGGCAGCAGCAAGAGCTCCGTCTCCGGTTCTAGTTCCTCGTCCGGCGGCCAGGCGAAGCTATCGAAGAGCAGCAGCAGCAGCAGCAGTGCTGCGATGAGCTCCGCTGGATCCTCCGGTTCCACCAAGAAGCAGCACACAGGGCTTAAGCCTGGCGTGAACAGTGGTCCCGCTTCCAAGAAGGCCACCGCAGCAGCCTCGTCCTCAGCAACATCCTCTTCCTCCAGCAAGCATCTCTTCCAGAAAGCCAACTCCTCGGGCAATCTCAGCAGCAAGCTCAGCGGATCGGGCACCGGCGGAGGAGTTCCGCTGACCAAGAGCAACAGCACCAACTCCTTCCAGGAGCACAGTGTGCCCAGGCGACGTCCCAGCATGGGAGCCCTGGCCAGCGGCAGCAGTGGTGGTGGCGGCGGTGCACAGCGCAAGTCCGCCTCCACTTCGGCGGGGGCCGGCGGATCCTCGGGAGCCGTCTCGCCGGCCCTCAGCGGCTCCATGTCGCAGCCACCGCCGCGATTTGACCATCACACCGACATGATGACCATCCTGCAGTACGCCTCTCCGACGATGGCCGCCAGCATGGAGGGATTCATAAAGGGACTGCACAACAAGTTTCAGATTCCGAAGCTGTCGCAGCGCGGAAGCGGCGGCAGCACGGCCAGTGGACGCAGTACGCCCAGTGGCGGCGCAGATCTGGCTGCAGCGGGCACATCATCAGCGGCATCTGGAGGAGGAGCTGCCAGCTCGACGGCATTGACGGAGCCGGAAGCCAAGCCGCCGGCCCCGCCTCCCCCGCCTGGCAACGATGGACTCCTCAACCTGAGCAGCACGGCGGGAATGCCATCGTCGGGCGATGGCATCGATGAGGAGCTTCTGGCCAGCCTGGCTGGCGAATGACAGAAGGTGGACAACCATGAGATATTCCTGTTGCTCTATGCGATTTCGATTTAAGCTATGAAGATTTAGTTGAAAGCCTTTAGTTACATGAGTCTGGGTTTTGGAATGAACGGAGACTGAGAATGTTATTAAGTTGGCGGTTCCCATTCGCACAAACCCTTAAGAAAATATTAAACAATTTTAAAAAACGACAGAAAATTTGGTACAAAATCTCAGAGATTATCACTTATTCTGTGGAGTCGAATAAAACATAAACTCGCTAGGTTTTGGTTAAAAAATTCATTAGGTAGCAGTTAAGGAAAGCGATATTGATATTGCGCGAGAAACATCGCTCTAAATATTATGTAATATATAATAAATGTATTCAGTTGGAGACTTGTATGTTATTTGGGTTAAAGGTTGCCAAATAATAACAAACTATTTTCTATTAAGTAAGCAGATAATTTATTCTTTTCTAAATAGGTTTTTAACAAAAAATCTTCCTAAGAATTTGAAAATAGTGTCGAAATAGCTCGCAAAAAGTTTTTTTCGAACTCCTGCTCAGAAAACCTTTCCACCGAAGCTCTGAAACCGATACAAACTTGATAAATGTGTACTAATTAAAGAAAGGTTTCACTTACCTTGCTGCATTTCGAATTCCGTTCATTTCATCGTTGTTAACAATGATATGTAGTATGTTTTCTGCGTATTCAACTGCGTCAATGGCAAGGAATCCGTTTTGGCTTCCCTCGGAGGTTTCGACAATGTCAAGCAAAGGGCCTCCGGACTTGTGAGCCACCATTATGAGGCCAGCGGCCATACAATCAACGATTCCGATCCCGAAATGCTCGTTCCACATGGTGTGTATGCCAATGTTAGCGTTTTGGTATAATTTAAGCAGGTCATCGTAGGGCACATTCACATTGAATTGGACATTGTTTTCGAGCGACAAATGCTTGGTCAAGTCCTGCATGTTCTTCAAACGTTCATAGTCCTCTTCGTGTCGACAGGAACCCACAATGACCAGCTTTATTCTGTTCCAAAGAGCCTCGTCCTGGGCCAGAAGAGTCCTCAGTTCGTACATGGCTTGCAACTGGAGTGGGTGATCTTTCTCCGGACGAAATTGGCCCACTGATAGAATGACGAACTCCTCGCCCTTCCCCGTGTGCTTGAGATTTTTGAGGTGGCTGACCTCGCACGGAGGATACACCAGGTGAGTCTTGAAAGGCACTTGCCACAGTTGCAGTATATGATCCTCAGTCCACGAGGAGTTCACCATAACCGTCTCGGCGCAGCAGCCCACCCACTTGTACATCTACAAAATAGGGATTTGTATGTTAAATTGTGTATACTGCTAGTTCTTCTACGACTCACCCTTGAGAATAGTCGGTAGTAGGTCAGTTTAGTCCAAGTCAAGAACGGATTCCTCGCCACATATTTCTTGTTGTTGTGGGACATCTTTCGCTGCTGAACCCTCAACAACATATCGGAGCTGATGACCGGATAGTGCACATATCCGCCCACTCTGGACTTGGCCAAGTAGCGGAACAGAGGAAACGTGAAGGCGTATCCCATGGTGTCGATGAAGATGTCCGGCGGAAACTTGCACAGTGCTTCCAGACCCAAGACCATCGATCCAATACTCTGACCCAGCAAAGTAAAGTACGGATAGTTCTTGGCCTCGATCCAATGGCGTTGTTTCAGGAACACGAACTTCACATTGTCACTATCCACGTCAATGTTGAAGACATTCTTGGCCTTTTGCAATATGGCATTGGGAGAGGCGTCTATGTCACCTGTGTAAATGACCACCTTTGCGTTCTGATACTTCTTCTGTAAGTAATGGAATTTAAATTAAATTAAATATAAACTTATAAAAATGCTGCTTTCCTAACAATATGTTGTAATGACTAGATGAAGATGGAGAGTAAACATATCTGATTACTAACTTTAATAAGCAATATTTTGAAATATGTACATATGACAGTTTGGCGGTAAGAGTCATCTGATCATCGATTAGAACTTTTGGAGACACGTATGTGCGGATGTTTTAATGTTTTTTCAAATATGTATTACCTGCAGCGCTTTTACGGCGCACCATAGAACACGTTCACCCCCGCCACCCGCATTGCAGTACGGGTGGAAAATGCCAACGTTAATGCAGTTTTCCGAAGATGTGTGCAACTTCTTTTTCCGGCTTAGCAACCATTGCCTCAGGGAAATAAATGAAAATACTGCCGCAAGAACAAGCGATAACAACACCCAGAGACTGTGAATAAAATACATTAATAAATTGGACAATTTAAAGGTAAGTATCCGTACAGTAACACAATCATTGCCGATTTCTTTTCAACGGTTCATTATTATTACACGTAAATAAAAAATATTGCATTATCTCGATTTAGGGATGGGCGATATTAACTCTCTCAATAAAAACCGATATCCGCGCCGCGATAAGAGTATTGTAAAAGTAAAATCTATCGATAACGTTTTTTAAATTTAAATTTTTCTGTATACGTTAGGATTTATTTGTAAGATTGATTTTCTGAAGTTTATGTACTGTTTATTTTTATTAATAGTGTACCGTTTTACCATTAACATAATTAAAATTTGTTGAAATTTTAAACTAATTTTTATTTACCAAAAAAGGAATTAAAGAAACAATTTTTTTAGTTCATTAGAATTTTTGTTAAGAAATCAATTGCTGATTTATGTTAATAAGCTAAGCAAACTCAAAAAAATCCAGAAATATAAATTTCATATAATTTTTTTTTTAGAGTTAGATAAAATTAATCTTCGATGCCGGAGTATGTCTTGTGATACTGCTTTGCATTAAAAGCTCGAGAAAGCTCCTGGCATAAAATAATGTTGGACTGAGCGCATGCGCTCACTTAATGGAACTTTTAAGGATAAATACAATTATACTCGCCAGTCTTAAATTCGAGACTATTTTATAAGAAACACGAAAAAATGTTAATAATCTGACAAACAAATTGGTGTTATGTTCAAGTGAATAGGGCCTTTTTAACAAGTCAACAAATAACCAAAAACTGTTTTATTAAAAGAGAGAAAACCGAAATAAGTTCATACCATACATACATATAAAAATGGTAAGGATGAAAATGGGTGCCTGCATTATTACAGAGGTGATAAAATTAATGAAGAGTGAAAAAAAAGTTTTTCCTGCGTACAAAAAAATGATTGTATGCTTGATTAACCAGTATAACTACTGTCATTAGTGGAATCATGGCACTTTATACTTCAGTTCATATACATACATTATGTATGTGGGTGTATATAACTAGATGTCTATATATACAGACTTACTTATGTATTCGTGATTAATTTGAAAAGATTATACTGCAGAACAAACATAGTTTGGAGTCGAGAGATAATAATGAAATAAAGATATAATGGTAATCTTAAACGGTTTACGTATTGATTAGTTTCTTTTTATGTATGTGTATAAAATAGAGATGTACCTTGGAAAGCATTTATGTACATATATAAATATATTTTAAATTACATACCGTCGACTGCCCAAACTCGAATATTTATCAGTTGTCTCGGTTTTAATTTTTTTTGACCAACATTAAGGCAATTTTCTCGAAAAACTTTATAATATTCAAATTTTTAAAAACGCCAAAGAGATGAACAAGCATTTTTAGTGTTTCTTAATAATGATCCCAATATAATCAAAAGAGCAGTTTTGATCAAAATGAAATAATTTTAGAACTAAGACTATGTAAAAGGCAGAGACGTTTCTGAGCATATAGATTGCATGCGTTCTTTATTAACACAAACACTCAAGAAGATCTAGTCATCACCGTCTTTCTATTAAAAAAAGCTTGAGTAATGGAATTGACACTAAGGATCTTACACCTTAGCAGATCAAACAGTTATCACCTAGCAGATCAAATAGTTATCAAATGTGGGCCACGCCTTCTTCCTCCCTAAAATCATTTATCATTTATTTAATGCGGAGTTATTTAGTTGTGGTTGTCTGTACCTACAAACAAGTCTTTAGAAAACACTTTTCGGAAATCAAAGCTTTTCTTTGCTTTTATGATTGTTTTAAGGTTCTAGAATCTAGATAGTCAAAGCTGTTGATAAAAAAAAACCTGGTAACTTTGCTTTGGACTAAGATCATAATCTCACAAATTAAGATCTTGTTATCCTGGCAAAGCAAAAATTGATATCATTAGTTCTAATAGTGATGAAATATTTGTTAATACATTAAATCTATAATTTTTCAATACCCTTTGTATATTTCAGAATAACTATACAAGAAGATACTGGCCGATTGTACTGTACTTATTTTCGCTATCACTTTCCTTTATCGGTAAGTTAGTTATACTTGAGCTCATTAAAATAAAATGAAACACATATTGTTATTACTTGGCGATGTACCTTGAAATCTTTTCTTAATAGAAATCTTGACTCGATAAATTGAAAAAGTAACCTCGTTATTTATGTACCTTTTTCAGATGGCTCTTTTATATTGCCAGAAAATGACCCTCCCACCACGGCGCCAAAATTCTTATCGCGGGGTCACTTGTACAAGGTCATCGTCGGGGAGACCATCGAGTTGCCCTGCAAAGTACAAAACCTCGGGTCTTTTGTGCTTTTGTGGCGGAAGGGTTCCTCCGTCCTTACAGCCGGACATTTGAAAATAACCAGGGATCAACGCTTTAAGATAGTGGGAGACTATAACTTGCAGATTAATGGAGTGAAGACTCAAGACGCCGGCGATTATATATGCCAGCTGGGAGATCAGGAAAATCGCGACCAAGTTCACACAGTAGAAATTTTGGGTAATTCATAATAATAAATAATGTTTGTATTCTTATATCTATTTTATTTAATATATATTCTTAGTCCCGCCGACGTTGAGGGCCCTTCCACACAATGGGCAAGTGACTGCTCGTAAGGGCAGCACTGTCACCCTGGAGTGCAAGGCATCTGGGAACCCGGTGCCCACAATATTCTGGTTCAAGAAAGATGTGTTTTCCGGGCCAACTCACTTGTCGGATAGCTCAACACTTATATTGGAAAATGTGGACAGACATCACGCCGGAACTTATCAGTGTTCCGCCGATAATGGGGTAAAGGATCGGGTATCGATGGACATACAGCTGACCATACTCTGTAAGTACCCCTTTTAAGAGAAATATATATGTATTTAAATTAACCTTTATTAAAAATATATCAGCTCCCCCGGAAATAACCGTGGAAAAGTCCTGGGTCCATGCATCCGAAGGATACGATGTGGAGCTTGTTTGCATTGTTCACGGAGATGTCAACTCAGAAGTAAGGGCAAAAGTTTGACTAACTACTAATTAATTAATTAATATTAATTTAACACTTCATTTTTATTCAACTTTAAGATGCTGTGGTATCAAAACTCTTTTCTGCTCGATGCCACCGATCGGCGATCTATGTATCCACGAGATGATAGATACAGTCTCATAATTCGCAACTTCCAGCCAACAGATTTCGGCAATTATAGCTGTGTGGCCGATAATGCTTTGGGAAGAACAAAGAAATATATAGAAGTATCTGGCAGACCAGGACCTGCAGATTTTATTTCCCCAGCCTTAAGTGGATACTTAGATCATTACAACTTGACGTGGACTATCGAGTCTATACCTCCGCTGGATGAGATTAAGCTCTTGTACCGACGTCTTTTGGTAATGATATTTATAATTGTTTTTAATAAGTAGTGTCATTAAAATACCATTTTAGATGAATGAGACCTATCAGCATCCTGGTAAATGGCATGAATATCACATCAAGCCAACGCCAATAAGAACAGATGGATCACACTTCTTGATGTCGTATCTGGTGAAAAACTTGGAGCACAATGCTGTCTACGAAGCGATTGTTCAGGCTAAAAACAAATATGGATGGAACGAGGTTAGTGACTGTTTGCTTAACAAAATATAGTGTCTCTCTTAATCGATCTGAAAATGCTTTTTAGATCAGCGATATTCACCAGTTTTATACGCGAAATCATGATCTTCTTCTTGACATCGATATGGAATATAAAATGGGCATTTCAAGCAATATTAGAACATCACCAACTGTCTATGGAATAGTTCTATCTATAATTATGTTAGTATTCTATCCCATCATTAGTGTTTAAGATGAAACGAGTAGGGTTTATTTGCAAATATAATTTAAATGGTGCCTTACTAAAACTTTAGCAAATAATTAAATTTACATGTATGTACATTAAGAAACCGTATAAATGTATTGAAATCTCAATAGAATACTTCTCTCAATAGAATATAAACGAACGTACTTCCGCAATGGCTAAGGATATACAGAGGATCTTTAAAGTCATCATTTTTTATCACTACAGAAAAGAAAATATAAAAAATAAGTTCACTTAATGTGTTTCAGAGAACACTAAGCAAATACATAAAATCAGCATTTAAGTTTATGCTGTCAGGATAATTTTTGTTTATTCATGCTAATCCAACTTGATGTAAGCCTTAGGACTGTTTATATACTCGGGTAAAGAATCTGAGCAAAAAATGTTAGCCTCAGTGTCCCGATCCATGAACTGAGTACAGGATAATATCATAATTACTCTCAAACAGATCTAATAAACCAGCCCGAACGAAATTAGCTGATAATGATAAGGAATATTAACATCATACCATAAAGTGTCCGAATTGGGCGATAAAATTAGGAAATACTTATCTGAATACGATCGGCAAAGAAACGCTCGAATTAAAATTACGAAAAATGACTTCGTATATTTGCACAAAAGATATATGTAAATAAGCACAAATATTCTCGATACATCTTCTGATTGACGGTAAAAATGTTGAGAGTCAGATTAAAACATTTACCACGTTTATACGATGCATATCCCCATAGCCCTTAAATTTTGTATAATTTTCGGTATGACTCTATGTTTTGAATTAAATAGGAAAACAAAAGGGCAATAAGGTCGAAATCAAAGAGTTTGTTTTGTACTTTATAATTAGTTACAAAATTGTTATTCCCCCAGAGTGGAGAGAAATTTTTTAACATATCGCGATAGGGTATTATACTGTACTTATATCCACAATCGTATAAGCGTAGTAACTGTTGAAATAATAAAAAATCTTCTTTAATGAGTATTTAGAAATTAGAAAGTATGGTTATCAAATTCTATACAGTTGCACCATAGGTATTCTTTCTAATTCATGTCCGATTTGTGACCACGATCTTGTGGCACATTCACATTAACCAGTTCACTTTAAATTTGAAAAAACAATTTTATTATTTTATTTTGAAAGGACAGATATAAAATGCTTTATATGAACTGGTATTCTTTCTCTCATTCTGGGTAGTAAAAACATACAGAAGGAAACTATTCGACTACATAATAGATAAGCATTAACATTCAAAGCTGAAAAAAAGCTTAGCAATTCCATATAAAAACTTAAACGAATACAGTATATACCCTCCTGTAATCATAAAATACATAAATACATATTGCAATATCGTTCAACGACTGTAGATACGTTATCATAATAGGTATACCAATGAATATAAAAATCATTTATAAAATAAATACATAGAACTTTAAATAATTAGGTGAAAATAATTATCGGTCAGGAAGATAAACTTCCTCAGTTTCTTGTTCCGATCAATGTAATAGAATTATTTGTTTTCGTTATAAATAATTTAAATCTTGTCAATGAATTCATGTACATAAACACATGCAAACGTGTTATCTTCTTTAAGGGTAAAACAATTTACAAACATACATTGCACTAACATTCAAATTGTGTTGTTAAATAAGACCAAAGATTAAGTTAAATTATTTATTTTCAGTTTTTATCTTATTTATCTTATTTTTCTTGGTTTTATAGTTTTTTATAGTTTTAAGCTGTCATTTAGAGTGTTCTTTTTACGTTGTACGAAATCTTTCTATCTTAAACGAATAATATAATCCATATTATTAATAGAAATATCCTTAGATACATAATCAAACAATAACATATTAATAGACTTAAAAACAAAAAATTAAAAAAAATGTATGATACAACATAAATCTTTTAAACCGGGATAACATGAAAGTAGTAATAATATTAATAATTCTCTTGTAAGTTTGTACTTACGTATGTCCCTATACATATGTATGTAATTATGTGTGCGCAATATCCGTTAAATTGGATCGTATTATGGACGTAATAATAAAAATGAAGTATCTTTTATTTTAACAATAAGTGTTCTTAGTCATAAGAAATAGAAAATATCTCATTAGTGCTATAATTTCGATAAAAAAAGATTTACTTTACTGTAAGCGTGTAAGATTTACCTATTAATAATGTATGGCATTATACATAACAAACTTACAAAGCACGAATAAATCATTTTACTAGTAGATTAACATACTTATTTTTAAAAATGGTTTCATTTTTATTTTAAGGTGTGCTATTTTTGGTCAAATATTTAATTTTATCCCCCAGATTGTAATAAAACATTGAAGTTATCAAATACTTATATATGTATTTTCGTCTAATTGAGATAAGTAAAATGTATAATTTTTGTGTCTTATTATTTTTACTTTAGTTTTAAATTAGTTGAAACTTAGTCAAGTGGGGCTCCGTCAGGGGAGGTTGATAGAATCGAGGGCTGAGGACTCATTTGAGTGACGGTTGTCGGTCTGATAGACAGTAATTGAATGGCTTCTAGAAGCCCATCCTGACTGGTTGAAGCCATGGGCCAATTTCCATCTGCAGAATATAAATAGAATATAAAAAAAGCAAATGAATATGGTTTTAATATATACCAGAATTATGTGAAGTATATCGTTCAGAACTGGACATTTTGTAGCAAGAGGCCTTCAGCGTGTTCATTGGCATTATCCTGGTTTGATTCCATGTCACTGTGTTTCTGTCAGTCTTTGAGGCTTCCCAAGGCATTGACCACCTCCTCATCTGACTTTCGGGATCGGTGGAGATTCCATCTATTACCTCCCCGGCAGCAGCTTCGGACCAACGACGCTGACCATTCAGCGGAAACAAGGGGAAACTTAAGGACGATTTGACGTTCCGGTGGAAAGGAATCTTCATGGACAGCAATTGTCCGGGGTTTGGCAAGGGACCGCGTGTGTGTTCGAAAATGGCTTGCATAGGATTGGCATCGCAGAAACTTAACTGAGGTGAAGGGCCTCGCGGTTGTTCAGCTTTAAGTAAGATAAAATACTTCTTTATATTATATTTAAAAAATGGGGTAGGTAACTAGCATTACCTGATTCAGAAATTCCTGTGGCAATTTGGCGTTGATCGGTTAGTGAGTTTCCTCTGGATGAATCCATTTTTGTGCTTGGTCCACATAAATTGGGCGATGGAGTTTGAGATCGTTGATCATGTTGGTTGCTTAAGAGAGATTGATGTGTTATACATTAAAGAGTAAATAATTTTGTAATCATGACTTACCGTTGTTTCATAACACTGCAGTCTTGTTCGTGGGGAAAACCCACTGGGGATTGGCAAACAAAGCAACAAGTTAAGGATGAAAATGCATCGTAGCTGGCTGCACAGAACTGGTGCTGAATATTGATAACAGCCTGTGCATTTTCTAGTACAATTAGTTCGTTGTGCTCTCGGAATCGTTTTTGTTCCAGTTCGGCATTGGAGGACTGATCCATGGACGATATGGTAACGAAATCCTGTAGCAAAGCCAACATGTGTGTCTTGACGGTTCCCGTTGCCACAGTTGTTGCTCTACGGGCAGATAAAATTAAATTTATAAAGATATTTTGGGTAAGCCAATTGTACATACCTTGCCAAATCGTTCCATGAATTTGTTAAATAAGATGTGGTATAATTATTGAACAATGGTTTCTCGCTCAAAGACCACTGCTCCAAAACGGCTATAGAATGGGCCAATTTCGAGCCGGCAGTACATAAGTTATTCAAAGCGCTCAAGTAATTTATCCAAGCAGCAGAGCATTCACTCAAAGCTGTTTTGGCCGATATTGAGGAATTACTTCCACTGCTGGAAGTAGCCGAATGTCCCGAATTGTTGCACAGCTCCTCCATTTTAGAGACTTAATCTGTAAGAGTTAAGGTTTTCCAGAAAATGTTAATAAATGTTTTTATAATTATCATACACTTGATAATTGTTTAAATTAAATATTTTAACCTTCTACAAATTATTTAGTTTTGTATATACTTCTTATTAGTATGCGGTGAAAAAGGTAGCAAGTCGACGCTTTTATACACTTTATTTGGTCATTCTGTAGTTTTGAAAGATTTCATTAAAACATGTTCGTTGCAGGATAAATAGGTAACTATGGTATTGAATAGTTAAGTAACTTGACTAAAAAGATGTATCAAATTATCTATCCATGTTTTTAGTTAAGCAAGAAATTTAGTAGTGTTTAGTTTTATATTTTAATTAAGATTTAATTTAATTTAGTGTTGGTGTTCATTTGATAACAGTGTATGGGCTTTTACTATAAAACTACTGCACATTATTTGGACTTATAATTGAATTACAATTACAGCTTTGATCTAGAAAAACTTAAGGCAGTCTCGAATTCGTTTGTAAAGTTTGTATCAATAAAAACTGTAAAAATAATGTTTTAATAGTAGTCTATAACTTGATAAGCTTTATCAGCTATAAGGTGTATACACGTAAATGTTTGATACATAAACATATATGTATTTAATAGCGACTTAAATAATAAATAGAGTCTAAATAGCTTTTGTGTCATCAAAATTGTTTTACACTCTGAAAGGGTACAAAAACTCTTTCTGATTTCTCCTGGTCGACATTTTTATTTATTTCACTTCAAGGCAGCCAATCCCTTATTGGGTTTTTTACGGCGGAAACCAGCTGACATGTAGTCCTTTCTATTAATTTTAGTTTTTCACACTTTACTCAAAACTTACTTAAACAATTTTGCCGGACGAGACGCAGTATGACCAAAACACGTTTGTGCTAAAATGATTAGAAATGCAATTTTAAAATCTTTAAGTGTAAATCAATTTTCTTAAAAAATTTTAAAATGTATTATAGTAAAAGTATCGTACTTATTTTATTTGTATTAATAACTTATTTTATTCAAAATAGACTTTTAAATACACCTTAGTTTGTTCTTACTCAGTATCTATCTTATTTATATTTATTGGATTTTAAGTTTTACAGTTTACGGTCACATCAAACAGCTGATAATGGTTTGTTTATTTGTTTTCCTTCAGAAGCGGAGCCTGTTGAACTTTTTCATTGAATTTAATCAATTTTACAAAGTTAAATGAATGTGCTTACTATTCTTTTTATTATAAGTGCAATTTGCGGTCTTGACTCCTTTAAAACAGCCATCGTTCCCAATGAGTTTATTGTTCATTTCCGATTCAAGTACTTTGCGCCGGTTCGAGAATCCTATATCGCAGCAAAACTACTTGGTTCAAACGTAAGTAATAAAGAAATAAAAACAATTTCTATATAAAAATCAATTTGCGTTTAAGATAAAATGATAGCTTAATAACATATATATATATATATATATATCTGAAAGGTACATTTATGTCTGTTATACTTTCGTATAATGAATTTATTGCCTCTAACAGATACTTTTGTATCTGAAAGTTACGTTTGTTTTGGAAAGATATGAAAAAAACATTTAAACTCTTAAACTACAATCTGAAAAATTATATTATATTTTAATAATATTACTAAAATATTTTATTTCTAGAAAACAAACTGGAAAATTATTCCACGTACAAATTTAGCTTGGCAATATCCTAGCGATTTCGATGTCCTAAGAGTTTTGGCCGAAGACAAAACAGCGGCAAAGCATATTATAGAAAGGGTTAAATCTCACCCATCGGTGAAGGCAGTAGTCCCCCAACGAAGTGTACGACGGATCCTGAACTATAACCCGTACAGCAACTACACCAATATAAAACGTAATCCAAAGGGAGTTTTGAGGAATAGTAACTCAAATAACGATAGACACCGACAATTGTGCTCGGTCCTGCATGCCAATGTCCTTTGGAAACTGGGTATCACAGGCGAAGGAGTCAAAGTGGCTATTTTCGACACTGGTCTGACCAAAAATCATCCACACTTTCGAAACGTAAAGGAACGAACGAATTGGACAAATGAAAAGTCACTGGACGACAAAGTAAGTCATGGCACCTTCGTCGCCGGGGTAATCGCATCCTCCAGAGAATGCCTGGGCTTTGCTCCTGACGCTGATCTTTTCATATTCAAAGTCTTCACGAACTCTCAGGTGAGTAATCCGGTGGATCTTTGTAAATGAAAAATGTAATAAGTATCTGCTTTTTCAGGTCTCTTACACTTCCTGGTTCTTGGATGCCTTTAACTACGCGATATACAGGAAAATAAACATACTCAACCTCAGCATTGGTGGCCCTGACTTCATGGACTCGCCGTTCGTTGAAAAGGTTTTGGAACTGTCTGCCAACAATGTCATAATGATATCGGCAGCCGGAAACGATGGTCCCCTTTATGGAACGCTGAACAATCCCGGCGACCAAAGCGATGTGATTGGCGTGGGCGGTATTCAGTTCGATGACAAAATCGCCAAGTTTAGTTCACGAGGAATGACCACCTGGGAACTTCCTCTGGGCTATGGGAGATTGGGACTCGATATAGTCACCTACGGCAGTCAAGTGGAAGGAAGTGATGTGCGCAAGGGCTGTAGACGTCTCTCCGGAACTTCCGTCTCCTCTCCAGTTGTTGCAGGCGTAGCAGCACTGCTCATAAGTGGGGCTTATCAAAAAATCGATGTGATAAATCCAGCTTCCCTGAAGCAGGTGCTCATTGAAGGTGCCGAAAAGCTTCCGCACTATAACATGTTCGAGCAGGGAGCGGGAAAACTAAACCTGTTAAGGAGTATGCAGCTTCTGCTGTCTTATAAGCCGAAGATAAGCCTTATTCCAACTTTCCTCGATTCTACTTTAAACTATATGTGGCCGTATAGCTCTCAGCCCTTGTATTATGGAAGCTCAGTGGCTATTGCAAACGTTACAATACTCAATGGCATTTCGGTTACCAGTCATATCGTTGGCACACCAAAATGGATTCCGGATCTCGATCATCATGGTCAACTACTTCAAATATCAACACAATTCTCCCCTATCTTATGGCCGTGGACCGGATGGATGGCTGTATTCACAGGTAAGTTTTTGGCCTCAAAACACAATGCTGCTACTTAACTTCTTTATTCAAAATTGTGATTATTTTTCAGCTGTTAAAAAATCTGGAGAAAACTTTGAAGGAGTTTGTAAGGGAAGTATTACTTTAGTTGTGGAAAGTTTTAAAGAGTCAGCGAACGAAACTCACTTAACAGAAGTCGAGTTTCCGCTAACAATAAAAGTTACGCAAAAACCTCCAAGAAACAAAAGGATACTGTGGGACCAGTACCATAGCTTAAGGTATCCACCGCGATACATACCACGTGATGATCTGAAAGTTAAATTGGATCCTCTGGACTGGAGGGCAGACCATATACACACAAACTTCAAAGACATGTATACACATTTACGAAATGTTGGCTACTATATTGATGTTCTGCGGGAACCTTTCACCTGCTTTAACGCCTCAGATTATGGCGCATTATTGATTGTCGACCCTGAGAAAGAGTTTGCCGACGAAGAAATAAACGCTCTAAAAGAATATGTTTATAATAAGGGTCTGAATGTTGTTGTGTTCGGAGATTGGTACAACACAACGGTGATGAAGAAAATAAAGTTCTTTGACGAAAACACCCGGCAATGGTGGACACCTGACACTGGCGGCGCCAATATTCCCGCCTTGAATGATTTGCTGAAGCCATTTGGAATCGCTTTTGGCGATTTTGTCGGAGAGGGACACTTTAAGCTGGGCGACCATTCAATGTACTACGCAAGTGGCGCTGCACTTATTAAATTTCCAATGAATCCAGGAGATATCTTAGTAGGAACAAAGCTAAACGATCAAGGACTTTCGGTATACTAACTTTTAATATATTTAATTCACATGAAATACAAATTTATATTTTCCAGATAATTAATTCTAAGACACCCAACAAAGAGGCCAAGATAGATGTGCCCATTTTCGGCATGTTTCAAACCAAGGCCAACAGTATTGAAAGTGACGAGGAAATCATGAGCAATGCAGAAAGCAATTTGGTTGAGATCATACCCACAGACTACGTGGCAATTAAAAACAGGGTCTTGCTATTACGAAAAAAGGAGCAAAGTATAAATTTCGCCAATATCAATAATTATCAAACTAATAGTGAAGGACGAATAGCCGTATATGGAGACTCTAATTGTCTGGATTCAACGCATCTGGAGAAGGCCTGCTACTGGCTATTGATCACATTCTTAGATTTTGCCATAAACTCACACAAATCTAGCTTACTGCAGAACCTAAATCGAATATCGGAATTTCACAAACAAAAAAGAGCCCCTTTACCTCTTAGGATATCAACTAAAAACTCAAAACCAGGATCCCAAAACAATATCTGTGAAAAATTTGACTGGCTTATCGCAACGAAACGTAACGACATCGTTGAAGAGAAAGAATCTTCTATTCTGGAAGCGGTTACAATAGACAGTGAAGGTATGCAAAAATATTTAATATTTTGTCCAAACATTAACGTTTATTATTATTTCAGAAAATGAGATCAATGTTATTCAAAAATTGCTGGATGTGGAAATCACAAAATTGTCCCAAAACAATGACTATTTTACAGGCAGCCAAGAGACCGATAGTTTAAGAACTCCGATTATATTTATGATTAGTTTGAGCTTAATTGTTATTATATTATTTGTTTTATTCATAAAGCGTCGATTTATTTTGTAAATAAATATAATGTTTTCTAAAATGTTTACCAATTTTTTTGAACTAAAGAGTAGATCAAAATCAAAAGTAAATGCAATACATACCTTAATGCAATTTCGGAGTTTTCATTAACTCCCCCCAATATATAATATGATATAGTTTAAATGTTCCCACGAGTTTAGTTTTAAAAACACATTTTATTCATTTGTATAATTTTAAAATCTTTAAATTGTAAGTTACTTAAAAAATTAAAAATGAGAGCATTTCAATCGTTTCTACATACAAATAAATGTATTTGTAAAGATTTTTTGTTTGAATTAGTTGTAAAAAGCTTTGTGCTTTTGACAAAAAGTCGATGTATTTTTCTAAGTTAAATAAATTATACGTATTTAATATATTTGAATATTGTACATTCAAATTACAGTTATAGATATACAAAATGTCCAATAATTTACACTTAACTAAATAAATTAATTTACAGGAATTTTATTATTTTTATCGACGTTGTACCTAATGTATGGAAAGTTAATCTTAAATTACGGCTTTACTCTGTGGCAATATACAACATAGCCTATCATTTTTTTTCGTTGTCAATTTTACTTTTATCCAACGACGACGACACCATCCCGCCACCGTTGGAAGGATACAGCTTTTCCAAATAGTTTAATGATTCATTCAAGAATGTCTGTAATAAAAGATTTTTTGATTAATGGCTTGAATCGCATTAGTTCGTATCTATCATACCTGGAAAGCATGCAGAACAGCCATAATTGCGGGCGATCCGAAGCCGTGCGTTATTAAGGAGAAATGTGTTAGGTGGCGTTGCATCGATGGCTCCAACAAGTGCTGGGATCTCGTGCCAAAATGTGTCGTCCGATCTTGACTTAAGATCTGCATTAGCTCTTTTGTAATCTGCAAATTAACATTTTTGTTTTATAGTAATATATGTTATAGCTCTTATTATATTATAATAATATAATCATTAATGATATATATTTACAAACGTTAATTATTAAAATCGAATTCGAGCAGGACTACAGTTAATTTACTTTTGGAAAGCGATATTAAATAACTAGTTTTTTATTTTGAAAACCCATTAATCTGGTAACATTTGAACGTGAAGATGATAGTCATCGTTTCTAAATATTAATATGTATTGATTATTATAATATTATTTATATACATCCTTTCAAAGAAAAGAAGGTTATCACATTTCAACAAGACAACATATGAAAGTCTTTAGAAAACATAATACCAAAGCTTATCCTGAAACTAAATAAAAGCAATTTGCAAAGCTAATATATAATAGGCAATAAACATAATCAATATTTAAATGTATATTTAATCTGAAAAATTATATGCAACATATGATATTTTTTTATTTGCTTACCTAACTATTATGTAAGCTTTTCGGTTATGTTTAGCTTTAAATCTCAATGTTTTTTATAACTTACCTGCTGGGAGTGGAGAATGAGCTCTTTTCGGCGGTACGAGTCCTGTGGCTCCGTTTGGTGCCGCACGATGTACTCGGCCAGCTGCCTGGCGGGGAATTCGGTTTCGCACACGAAGTGGAAGTCCTTGGCCAGGTGCGTGGCCTCCCCCTCCACCAAGGATGTGAGTAGCGTTACGTTGGCCGCTTTTCGCCTGCCGGCCGGCAAGTTGAGGCCGATCTTCTCCAGCTTCTCCCTCAGCAGGCGACCTCCGTTCTTGCTCTTGGCCCTAAAGGGGATAAAGTTGGTCAATAAGGCCATGATGAGAGATGAATCCCGGGCGAACCCACCTTCGAAGCACTCCGCCCAGCAGGGAGGCGTTCAAACACTCCGGTGGCGACAGTCGCCGCTGCACTTCGGCTATGGTGACCTTGTATTTCGAGGTGCTCGATAGGAGACTAAGGCGACCAGGAACAGCACAGAATACCTCGCTGGGCGAACCCGATCCAATGTTCCCGGCTTCTTTTCCGCTTTTCATGCCTGCAAAACAAACGCAACACCAAATTCAGACTCCATGAGTATGCACACCATCATTGTTCAAGGTAAGGAAAATATATTATTATTGCCATTGTTGTTATTGTTTCCGACAGAGCAAAGTGTGAACGCAGGACGTGGGGATCATTTTACCCGAATCCTGCCAATTAGAAGGTCCATATTCAATTTCACAATGCACACAAACTCACTATTTTCGAGGGTTGCCCAATGCCCAATGCATTGTTATTTAGGCGTGTTCGTAGTTCCGCCTCATGCGCAACATGGAGTGGCATGTAACTTGCAAGTTCATTATGAATATGAATAACTATAACTTTGGTATGGTACAAAAATACGAACAAATGTCTACAATAATTAGTTTATACGTTTCTCTTTATACAACTTCAGAAACTAGGGTATCAGGGCTCAACCAATATTTATGGATCCTATGTTTTGTTTTTGATCATGTATTCAAAATATCAACTTTATAACTTTATTTTTCATTAAACATCAATTAAAGTTATTACTTTAATTATTATTATTAGTTTTTTTTGTCATTACTAAAATATCTTTATACTTAATTTAAATAATAGCTCTTTAGTAAATCTTTTAATTTTAAGGCTCCATTAAAATATGTACATATGTTAAACAAGTTTCAATTTTATTCTCATAACAAAGCTGATAATTGTTTAATTTCGAATGTGTGAACAAAGGGGTGTTTCAATATGTAAAATTATAAAACACTGAATGAACCGGCCTCAAACTGAAAAATTAATCTAAACAGTACACATTACCATTACAGTCAATTTCTTTCATAAGTTTTGGGAATTTATAATTTGTGTAAAATACTTTAAAGAGATAGTTTTTGTTAGAACTCACTCTTTATAAGCGGCAAGTCTGACATAAACGCCACGTTATCGTCGAGGGCAGGAGCTTGGACATCATCGACAGCATTCTGAAGAGCTTGATGCAACGCCAGGGATTCGTGTTCATGTCCAAGTCTGGTTCCATGGGCAGCTCCCGCCGATATTGCACTACCGTAATCGCTTCTTCTATCCGTGTACGGAAATCCGTGAGACAGTTGTGTCTGCAAAAGTTTTAAAGTTAAACACAGTTTAAAGCTAAGTATACTTAATAACTAAAATTAATGCCGACGGTGAAAAGTTTAAGCTTTAAAAAAAGTTGAGTTTACTTAGTTTTCCTCTGAATGATGTCTTGTGAAATATTTAGAAAATTTTGTGGCTATATATGAACATTGTGAATATGGAAAGTGATTATAAAGAATTCAAATGTTCATAACTCTATAATGGAGACATCTTTAGGTCAATAAAGTAATCAGCAATACCAGGCGAAGCAATAAAGACACGTCCGTCTATTTGCAAGTGATTTACTTGCTCAGTTTAAGAGCTTTCTTATAATTTTATTCCCATGAAAATTAGTCAATAATAAATATAAACTGTATAACTTAACATAACTTTAAATTGATTGTAAATTCTCTGCTTTTTATATTTATACAATATTTTGATAAGGTTAGGTTGTATTTGACAATTTTAAAAGGTTCTTGTAAATTGCATCAATATCGGAAAGCAATATGAATATTGAAATATTGCGGAAGTTAACTTCCTTTCTGGTTGTGCCATAATTTAGGTGTATTTGGTACACAGTCGTAAATGAAGCGGAAACATAGTTTATGTAGTTCAGTGTTATTACAGGGGGTATGGCTGAAATGATGGCAATAATTGTGAGATTATTAATACATCGGCGCTTCGGTTTGGCCAAGGGGTTGAAGTCGCCGCACAGCCAATCCGAGGTCCTTGCCACTGATGTATGCAGACCGGCTGGAAGCCGCACTCACACACTCTCGCCGAAGCTTGTGTGTTTGCCCGTCTGTGTGCGAGTCCTTTGGGCGGACAGATGCGCACACAGCCTGCGAGGATACGCCTTTTCGGAGCATGGGCACTCAGGCTGCGTTTCGCTGCACCACTTGCCTGGCCGAGTGGTTGGATGGTTTGGGAGTGATTCCACAAGAGTGGGGATGACGAAAACAGACTCCCTTCGGCGGGCTAAGGCTGAGCCTGAGCTAGGAATTTCATCGTTCTTGCCAACAACTTTCTTGCAAAATCCCAAGAACATTTTTTACATTCTCCAGAGCATGTTTTTTTAATGCACTCGAATGGAATTCGTTCAAAAATAACTTCGACAACTTTCACAGAATGGGGCGATTTCAACCCCCGAAAATGTTCCGTGGCCTTCGAAGCCAAGAATGTAGCTAAATATGCTAGAATTATGTGGAACAAGACGCAAATTCTTAAACGGATGAAAAGATTGAGTCCTGAGCTCAACTTCCTTCTTGTTAGTATTTACTGTAAATTGCCTTCAAATGGGGTACTTAAAAAATATTTGTTAAACTCATCATCTTGTATGATGGCACGGTCAAAATCATAATATTAAAATTTGTTAAAGGCTGTTTAACAACCAGTTATCAATTATTATTAAATTATTACCATTTTAAATTTTCGAGTTAAAATCATTTTGTTACCTTCTTTTCCTACAACACTGCTTCCTATTATCTAAGTTTTAGTAAGAACCAGTTTTTGAACCAAACTTTTGTGTGATTTTAATATTTTCAACCGAAATTTACTTATCTAGAAACTTTTATTTATGTTGGAATTAAGTTTCTGCAGTAAAGATAAAAGCTTTTCCTTAAAACATAATGATATCTTAGTTTATATTGGTGATCATTGATCAATAAGTCTCATAGGGTCCGAGAAGCTTCCTCCTTACTTTAACTTAACCAGTACCGAGTATATTTTTAGCCTAAGCTACTTAATTCGGATTATTTTTGCAGTGCTCTACTTACAACATGTCCCTGCAGCTCAGCCTCTCTGTGGGTCCTGTGGATGCCCAGTTGGTCCTGCGTGGAGCGCAGTCCCGCCAACTGGTTGTAGTGGTGCAGAGGGGCGTGGTGCAGCGAGGAGAGGGGCTGGCCGTAGGGGTCCGTGCCCAAGTACTCGAGGGCCCCGTGGTTCTGCAAGTAGCCGGATATCTGGGTAACGCTTGGGGCCAATCAGGGCG